CATGTTCTTATTGGCTAAATCGTTATGGTGTTCTTCTTTGGCGCCTAACTCTTTATGGTTAAGGTGATTAAGAGCAAGTTCGGTATACATCGGAATGGTTGAGACTCTAAAATCAATGCCTCTCCTTCATACAAAGATCCCATAGAAAGCGATTTCAACTATTTATGCTTTCTTTCGATTACTCAGTTTGAGGGTGCACAACGGCTGTTGTTGTCTTTTTCGGCAAGATTCTTGGATTGACAATGTTTCTTTGGCCATTTGGTTTCCTTGCATGTATAATGTGTCACAAAATTGCAATACTTCTATTTTTTCCTTTTTGGATTCCTCTGCAGGTCAATGCTTCTGGAATATGTTCTTCTATAGAAACCTTAATGATCGGAAAGCTATTTATATGATTTCTCTTTTCAACTCCTTGATTCTGTTATCTTTTCTCTGGGTCTTGATAGTATGGTTCTGTCGTTGGACTCTTCAGGAGCATTTACTTTGCAAGTTTTTCTTTCCCTTCTTAACTCATGGCCATTCCATTCGCTGCAGTGTCTTCTTTAATGTTCTGGAAGGTTTCTGTTGCCCTTAATTAAGGTTTTTGTTTGAACTGCAATTTTGAATATGATAAATACTAAATATTTGCTTCAAGCTCACAGGCGAATTGTGGTTTTTTTTTTCCCCTGGATATTTGCTAATTTTTGCTGCAATTGGTTTTTTATACCATTCAATATCCCTTTGCTTAACCCTTGACTCCGGAAACAAAATAACCTTTCAACTGGAACTACTCTTGATTTGAAGCTTTAGAACATCTAACAAAGTTCCTACTTAGTTGTGAATAAGATATACATGGATATTGGCCAACACAATTTGTTGTTACTCTGTTAGTCTCTATTTAGACTATAGTCCTCTTTATCCAGGAATGAGTTTGGTTCAATTTGAGTTTTATGAAATAAGAATCTGAATTCAATACAAATGAGATTTAGATTTGAATAAAAATAGCATTATGATTCCAACTAATTTCTGTGTCAATTCAAGTTAGTGTTTCTATTTTTTTTTCTTATTTTTCTTTTCTCTCTCTTTTCCTTTAATTCCAACTCTTCTTCCTTTTTTTTCCATTTTTTTTCACCAGAACAAATAGAGAGCTTGGGGAAGACAGATTGCTTCTTCACCTTCTTCATTCATTCCCCAACTCACTCAAGACACAAGCCCCTCAAGCCACCTAGACACCATTTTTTCTTCTAGTTTCTTTCTCATTCCAGAACCACCTCCATTCTCCTTTGTTCGCTTCTAGCCTTAGCTCGGTCTGAAGATGTCACAAGCCTTGTTTTCTGGGCGTTGCTCTCCCTCCACCTCAGTTACACTCTTTTGCTCTTTGGAGTTCAAGTCACCCAAAATGCTTATTTCTCTCCTCCCTCTCTTGCTGCTGTTTTCCTCCAGATTTGCCTCTATCTTCCTAACACCAGCTCCTCTCTCTGCTGTCACTCCAATCTCACCAAAATCCTTTTCTCATGTCAACTACCGTGGCCACGACCAAAACCCTCAAAACCCAGCAACACCATTCATCACTAAAACTGCCTCCTCCTGCACCAGAACCGCTTTATCTACATTTTGGGCGCATATATATATATATATATATATATATATATATATTATATGGCAACCTCTAAAACGTATAAGAGATCACCCAATAAAAAAAGTAGGTATTTAGAGATGATGAAAATGAAAATTAGCTGGAGAAGTGATGTGATTAGTAAGAACAGAAACTTAAAATTGTGTGGAAGTGATTTGCAAATATCCAATTGTTTTAATTATAAGAGGATTTTCGGTTTTAGAAAGAAGAGGAGGAAGGAAAGAGAGAGAGGAGAGAAGGTGGAGACAATGGAGACAAAGAGGAGAGAGATAGGAAAAGAAGGAGAAAAAAATTATACAACAAAAAAGTAGAATTACTGCCAAAGTTAATGAAAATTATTAATGGAAAATTGTGGTTAAATTTTGCTCAGATTGAATGAAGCTCTTCAAGCTAAATTCTTTTGGAGGTATTGGAGGGAAGAAAATAGAATGTGGAGAAGGATTGTTGAAGCTAGATGTGGTGTGCATATGACCTCTAGAAGTGGTGGCAGTCTTTCTGTCCCTCATGGCCGGGTTTGTGGAGGAAAATTCTGATGCAGTGGAATTTGTTTAATCAGTGCTGAAAGTGGAAACTTGGCAGAGGTAACAAGATAAATTTTTGGGAAGAAGATTGGGTTGGGGAAGGTAGACTACTGAGGAGGTTTCCCAGAATTTATAATATCGCTCAATCCAAAGATATGACTGTTTTGGAGGCTTACAGGGTTGTTAATGGGAACATGGTTTGGTTAATTAATATTAAGAGGAACTTGAATGATTGGGAGGTCAAAGAGTTTGAAGACTTGATGTCTACTCTTGAATCTGCACATGTCTCGGATAGTGATGATCAGGTGGTGTGGAATCTGGAAAAAAATGGAATTTTTTGGTCACTTCATACTATAAGTTCTTACACGAGATGGGTACTGAAAAAAGAAGACTATTTCCTGCTAAGCCGATTTGGAAGACTAAAATTCCTCCACGCATTGCTTTTTTTGCTTGGGAGGGTTGCTGGGAAAAAATCCTTACTTTTGACAGGTTGAAAAGTAAAGGCAGGATTATTGCAAATAGTTGCTATTGCTGTTTAAAGGCTGAGGAAACTTGCAATCATCTTCTACTATGGTGTCCTACTGTTTCTAAACTATGGTGTGGGATTTATGGGTGGTTAGGTATCAGTTGGGTTATTTCAGGTTCGGTTGGGGGGAGATTTGGGCTTAAGGATGGTTTATATGTAAAAAGAAACATTGCTAATCTTATCTCTTTGACCGTTTTTTGGGTTATTTGGAAAGAGCGGAACAGAAAGGGTTTTGATAGCATAGAGAGTAGTTCTAATAGATTGATAGATAGATGGATACACTTGTTTGGGACAATTGTACTTGGTCATCATATCATTAATGATGAGGATTTTGGAGAAGTATTGATGCTCTAACTTTTTTGTAGAGATTTTGTACATGGGTGGTACTCCCGTTTTTGGTACCTTATGAATAATACTTCACACTTTTTATTTAAAAAACAATTAATGGAAGTTGCAATTTGATACATTGTAATAATTTAAGGTGCACATTGAAACAATTGAAAATTTAAGTATAATTTGATGTAATAATTT